TTAGGATCGATCAACTGTATTTTTCAGGGTCAAGGAATGTGATGCGAGGTCGCAGAGGGTTCAATTGATTGGTGTGAGTGATGCAGGATGAGTTGATGATGATGATGATGATGATGAAAGAGACGGAAAGGAATGTCAACGCATGGCTTCCCGAACCGCAAGCTGTAGACGCAGGGAAACTGCTTCTCTCCAAACAAAGGTGGAATTCGAAGTTTCGACGCTCGGAAGGTGCATACTGAGACAATCAGACTGGCAGGTGTGTAAGAAAATCCACATTATTCAGGACCGAAAACAATCTCTTTGGTCCTTGCCATTGAAGAGGACAAACAAGGGTTCTGACGCACCAAGATCACTCCACGACTAATACTTTCCGCCTTCTTTGCAGACTTTGCCAAACACGTCCTCGGTGTGCTCCCATACCTTATCCATAGTACCGTCTGTTATCATAGTATCGACCTTGGGGTTGGTGTGAGCTTTGCTATCCTGCCAAACAAGAACCACACTCTCCTTCCCAAAATCGTCATTTGTAGACGCCCACAGATGTCTCTCGCCACTTTCCTGAACAGGGACCATCCATGGTTTGAGCATCCAGGCTGTTTTGTCAAAGGCGAACTTTATCCAGCCCGGGAAACCTCTTAATAAATTGGTATTTACACCGCCCGGCTGAGAGTGGATGAAGGTTATGCCGGGACATGTTTGTGAAAGTCTGTGGAAGGCAAGAGTGGTCATGGTGATGGCATGGTTGGCAGTATTGCTAATCGAGTAGGTCTTTTTGAGGTCGAGATCTTCGAGATTCACTGGGGACTCGAGAGTGGCTCCCAACACAGATACGACTCGAGCGAGAGGTTTTACTGATGGGTCTTCGGGCGGTTTCGCGGCATTTTTGAGGAGTGGCAGGAGGTTTTGGGCGAAGCGTAGGCGGCTATAATAATGGAGGGAGAACTTCTTGTCCAAACCCTCGACGGTTTCTAGATGTGATCAGCGCGACAGTACTTCAAGTTGTAATACTGTGAGTGGACGAGGCAAACCATCACGACCTTTCATGGTCATAATTCCTGCAGACAGAAACAAAAGGTTGATCTTATCCTCCTTTGCTTTGATCTTTTCGCTCACAGCGTCTACATTACGAAGCTGTGCCACGTCAGACCTGATGAAAGCGATTTGGCTGTCGGGATTGATGGTCTGAAATTCCAGCCTGAGCAAGTCGGCCTGCTCCTGACTACGTCCTACAAGATATATTCTTGGTTTGACAGCGTATCGGACGAATTCGCGGGCGGTGCTCTCTCCAATTCCACTTGTTCCACCGACTTTTTGGCAACTAGCTAATTCCCATTTTGCTACCATGGCTCATTCAATTTACCAAATACGCCTACAAGGCCAGCGCCATAATGCTTCAGTCCTGTTAGCTGGGATCTGATATCTTGAATCGCGACCATGATCTGTGATGTTATGTAAGTGAAGCCAGGCTCATGGAAACAGATCAGCCAAGAGCTTATATGAGGGAAGATGGTTTCCAGGCTTCTGCCGTTCCTCAAGTATGTACGCGTCTTGCGAAATGTCACTGGGGTGGTTGTCCGTGACGGAGGAGGAGATTCGTCCGCAATTAGAGGTCTTGACTAAGCCATCAGTCTATGCTCAAGCTACGGAGAATCTTGAGCTGATCAGCGTCTTTAGTGTCATTGATGTAAAGCGAAGAATCACTGATATCAGTGAAAGACGAATGCAGTAGAAGTAGATGTAGCATTGATCATGAGGGACAAATAACCGACTCGGCGAAAGCTCCAAGTTGGAGAACGATAAATCGGATATACCCAGCTACGCATCGTGCATCCCAGAGCCTCTTACGTAAATCGGTATCGAGACATCAATACAGTTTACACGGGCGGTGACGCGGTCGCAGCGATGAGGCGAGGCGTTGCGTGGCAGTCATCGACTCATCGATGTGCCCTCAGAATCGGGCCGTCCGAAAGCACGGGGTTATGCCGTTATGCATGCACAACGCTGTGGGGTGTGCCGCGCCTCAGATATTAACAAGTATGTTCTGCCGACAAGCAATTCCGCCCTCCAGTAATGCCGGCAGCAAAGGGAATCTCTCGCGACTCACTCCTTTGTCTCAGAGGCATCAGAACCAATCCGAATCATATGACATCAAAGTCCCACCTGATAATGGACTAGCCAAGATGCCATCCTCAGCATCCGAAAGGAAGACATCGAGGAGACCGCGCGCAGTTCAAGGTATCCATCTCTCCCTACCTGCACCACCGCAGTGCATCCCAACTAACTCACGCCGCCAGCCTGCAATCTGTGTCGGGCAAAGAAATACAAATGCGACGGCAACCTGCCTTGCGTGCACTGCAACCGTAAGTATTTTGGAACCGCTCGATTCGGACTACTGTGCTTGCTAAGAGAGGACAGGCCAAGGTGTCGATTGTGTTTATCAAGGCGCACCGAAGCAGCACGATGTTGGCCACTACTCTGTTGCGTAAGAATATCTTTTGAAACGTTGGTTGAAGACACGCATATTGAATATCCTCAGATATGCAAAGAATCTCGAAAGACGGCTTGTGGCAGCAGAAGCTGCGCTGCTATCTCAAGGCCTATATCTCAACGCGGATCATGAACCATGCCGTGTTGATGCAGATCGTCAGAAAAACGATCAATCGAAGTTCAAGGAGCAGTTTGCGACCCCTGAGAGTTTGAACGCTGGCTATGCAGATATCAACCACCCAGCCCAAAACTCTGATGAGGCGAGCGAGCACGGCACGATCGAGGCGGAGACGATCAACAATGAGGTTATGGATATCAATCTGACCACCATGGGTTTCGAATATCACGGGCAGACATCCTCGATCGCGTTTCTTGAACGTCTGCGACGCTTTACTGAACCAACTCTGCCAGTGGTCGGCAATATGCCCCCTGCCATCACAAGTCTCGTTTCATCGATATCAGACCGCTCTTTGGTCACGGAACTTCACAATGATGCCTTCATTGATCACAAGGAAATCCCATCATGGATTGTCGAACCATACAATAACGAGGAATTCTATCCACTTCAGGCGTATACTTTTCTCGAAGCCTACTTCGCCGCTCAGCACTGTATTCATCCGATTGTTGACAAGGAGGAAATCATGTTGAGAAGCCGAAAGCTTTGGGACGGTCAAAGTCAAGCAGTGGAGCGAAGTCACAAAGCAGTTTACTTTGCCATTCTGGCGCTCGGGGCGTTGACGCGTACGTGGAACGAACCGAACCTTGGTGGTAAAGGACGCTATGAATGGACTCTTTTGCTTTTCCGGAAGGCCGAAGCAGCGCTTGGTCGACCTGGATCTTTTCCAAACATGACTACCGTACAAGCGTTGTTCATCCTCGCCAAGGTTTGCCAGGTTCAGCTAGACCTGAATCTTGCATACACATACTTGGGAATGGGTATACGAGCAGCTCTCACCTGTGGAATCAACAGGCTCACAGTTTTTCGAGTGAAAGACTTTCCTCAAGATTCAAAGACCCTCCAGGTAGCGAGAACGTGGTGGGCTCTATACGGCCTGGAGATCGAGCTGAGTTTCGCATTGGGAAGACCTGATACTCTAGGGCTGGACTTTTACCATAACAGACCGGTACCCAAATTGAACAACAGCGAGACCGACATGATTCGTGCAACACTAGACCTGTCCAGAGTCATTCGAGACGTCACTGCTAGAGTACATCATAACGCTGTCAAGCTGACAGAAAGGCTAGTTCAGGCGAGCAAGTTGGAACATGATCTATACGAATGGCTAGCTCAGCTTCCAGAGCAAATTCGGCCGACTACTGGCACAGATGTCCTCAATTCTGGGTCAATACACGATCAGCAATGGACTAGGCTGCAACGTTTCGTTTTGAACATACGTTAGTCGAACTAAATTGGTGATCCCAATATGGACTGACCAAGTACTGACTTGTCGCAGGGTACCTACACGTCAAAATGGTGCTCTTTCATCCATTTTTCCAACTAGCAACCAAAGCAAGCAGCAAATCGAAACTTTCTCCGGGACTAATAGAAGCAGCCGAGAAATGTGTGGAATCTGCTGTGATGATGATCAGAGTGATTCACGATACATACCGAACGCATCACTTCATGCGTACCTGGTAGGCGTCTGCACTGCTACAAGTCATACGACTTTTGATTGACACTACCTGACAGGTATTACAACACAGTATACCTCTCTTTCGGAATGTCAGTCCTGCTCGTCTACGAATTGAAAAAGCCCTTCCCTTGCCGCTGGGACTATGACCTGCTGCTCTACATTGAACAATCTCTCGATGCTCTTGAGACAATGAAAGAATGCAGAGTGGCTTTGAAAACAGCTAGCTTTGCTCGCGAGTTTCTGGACAAACTACGCATACAACAATCAAATGCGCCAAGCTTGGTGCCAGACAATGACCAAGCTATGATGATGGATCTCCCAGACCTATGGAGTGGTGTTCCAGCGTTCAATGAGCTCTTTCCCGACTACATTGGCGATCTTGAAGATTACGCTGAGCTCAGCCTTTTCGACCAAGCATTCATTGACCCCAACCCAGGGATAGAGAACCCGATTGTGTAACTCCACGACATTGCGCCGTGAAGGAAACATGGACCGAAGCTTCCCAACACAAATTACCGAATATGTAGCTTGAGCGCATCACTGTTACAATCGCTCCCACGCCTTGTATCTTCTCCGGACTGAGTAGGGGAACTTTGAAGGCCCGACTTCGGATACAACCATAAAGTCAACCAAGCCAATGCCTCGGCGGTGTTCCACGATTGCTATCTTAAGCACTTCCACTTTCGTACTCGTAAGTGTTTCATCGGACCAGAGACGAAGATCCAGTGGTCGATCGTCATGCGGAAAGTCCTGTCGAACGGCTCATATCGTATCGATAGCAGACATCCATGCTGATTGACCCCACTGCGATATCGGACTCTCATCAACCTGGTATAGATTGGTCCCCAGCCGCTTTCTCAGCATGATTCAGTCAGTCTGGCGCTACTAGTGTAGGGGTTATCATTCCAGCCTTCCATACCCCTTGCACTCGTACCAGAGTGTGAGGTTACGTGAAATCCAGCTGGAGATCCAGGTTCGAGTCCTGGGTAGCGCATCCTTTTTGCTCTCTTTTCTGCTCCGCAATGCATAGTGAGTGTGCAAATCTGATTGATGTTTACAACTCGAAGCTAATATTATGCTAGAGTTTTTTTTTTCGAGTCGTTGTCGAGCCCTCTTCAGTCGTACGACAGCTTAGCGGTTGAGGCCTCCTGGTGGAAATAGGGACGCTTCTGGTTCATTGCTAATTGCACTCGCAATTATTTTTATGGTCCTCCACAAATCATTTCAAACTGCAGCCTTGAACGGGTTGTACGGGACATTCTGCCTGTCAGTCTATATTTAGCTCTTACTGCTTTCGTCGTGCATGCGTTCAGTTTCGTCCTGCCGTCTCTCGTGCAACCTCAAAATGTTGACAACATGTCTACTTGAGCCAGTGCTCAACATGTAGTCCTTTGATCATGGCACTTCCGCGCCGGTATTACAACATCTTGATCTTAGCCTTCGTCATCATATCAGCCGCCTACAATTTCCTCCATCTCAACCCGAGTTCGGGATATGCTTATCCTGCCGTGAAGCTAAGCAACGACCACCATCCGTTGAATCTCAAATCAGGCAAAGATGGTATCGAACGTCTTGGATCTGAGCTCAAAAGACCAGCATACATCGATGAGCCGACAGTCACCAACTTACACGCGCAGCTGCTGGTCGCTACTCCGGTAAATACTGACCCGGGTGGAACTAAGCAAGAGGTGAATGAGCCGGCCCCACGAAAAGTCACAAGAATTGCCATCACAGAATCAGGTGGCAGCCACGACGAAGTCACAGCCGCACTCATCCACGCATTCGGACAACAACAAAGTGTGGAGATAAGCACATACTTACTCCTTCAGCGCTACGGTATCGCAGACATCATGCACGATTTCAACCTGTCATCCCCGATTGTGGCGGACAAACCCTCTGGAGCGTTTGAAGACAACCTCGATGGTCTACCTTTCCCTCACATCCTGGTCGCTGCGACATGCGAGATTGAAATTGTGAAGCTGGCGACGGCTTACGGGATCTTGCTTGCAATGGGCAAGACATTCTTGTTTTGTGTTATACATCATGCGGATCGGTGGATTGAAGGTGAACTCGTAGAGAAGATCAGGCCGTGGGTGGAGAAGGAAAGGGTTCACTTCATAGGGCTAAGCGAGCACACGGCAAACTATTTCCGGAGAGAGTGCGTGCCGAAATGGGACACAAACGCTTCTGTACTGATCGACGCTCTACCGCCCGTCTTTCCCGTTGACGTCGAAGCACCACTGCAGAGTGACTCGGGTCTGACATTTGCGTTGCAAGGCGACTACGATCCCGCAAGACGGGATTACACGTCCACCTTCGAAGGACTGAGCGAGATTATCGAACTAGCGCAGAATCGGTCTGTGGAATACAGCTCACTGATACCTCACAACATCACACTCCGACTCATCGGCCATGGGGAAACCAAACCAAGCATCCCAGATAACCTGAAATCGCACATCAGCTTCGACGAGAACCTCGACTACGGGACTTTTTACACCCTCCTATCCCAAACCTTCACACTTCTCCCCTCCTTCGCATCAAAAGATTACTACGACCGTAAAGCCTCCTCGACCATTCCGGCGGCGTTGATTGCCGGTGCGCCGCTGGTCGCTAATGATGAGCTTCTGAAAGCTTACACTTATGTTCCTGAGGCTGCGGTGTGGAAACAGGGAGAAGGGGAGAGTGAGATGGATGTTGTGAGGCGAATCGTTCAATTGAGTGGGGTTGAGCATGAGAGGAAGAGGAAGGTTGTTAGGGAGGCTTGCGGGAGACTTGTGGAGCGGAATGTGGAGTTGGTTGGTGGATGGATGAAGGAGGGTCTTGCGAGGATTGAAGCAGTGTCTTGACGGTGTGCTTTCTGATATATGCTTCCAACAAATCATACTTGGCCTCCAACGTAGTTATGATGGAGATTGCCACATATTATATATTGATGATCCGTAACAGAATAGCGATCATGGTTGAATCCAGCTCCTCACACAAGGTCGATGCGATCCTGCAGCGTTGCGGCACGCGATCTGACACGCATTACAGAAAAATAATCCCATCCATACGCAATTGAGGTGGGCAGCTTGTACACTTCAATTTTTTCTCACGGAACACTTGGAGGTCTCCTCGTGGTGGAACAAAAACTCCCCAGAGGCAGCGAAAATGGCGACCCGAATTCGTGGCCGAGACAGCATTGCGTCGATTTCCAGGACACTACGCCCATTATCCCCAATTCCGACATTCAAAATTCTTCTTCACGATCCCGTCCACAGACGAAACCAGCGATGAAAAAAACTTGTAGCTTCTCTTTGATTGAGCGTGTCATCCTTAGTGCAGGGGCCATGCTAATCTTCTCTGTATCGTTTCAAATTGACCAAATGTTCCGAAGAACTGAGGAAAAGCTGAGGAGGGTGAGGGCGGCGGCGTATATATACCCCCTTCGGTGGCGAAGCATGAGTCAGAGCGCTGTGTGAGGCACGGACTTTGGAATGTGATGGAAGTGTTGGAGACTGGGGTGTTGGCCAATTAGGAGGTTGTGTTGGGAGCGCGGATGGGGGGCAGGTGATTGGGAGGGGTGTTGGCCAATGAGAGGGCTTGGTCGTCGGAGGAACCCAGTTTTTATGGACCGACTTCGGGAGTTGATGCCGCGCTCAGGTTTGGAGTAACCGAAATTTGAGTCTTTTGTCGTATCCTCTGAGGATGGTGCTGCTGGGAAAGCGCGATAAATTCTCATCATTGTCCAAAACTGGCAGCAAGACGAAGTTGGCTGGACAACGATGCATGATGGACAACACAGCTCCCCGATCTGTAGAAAGCACGTGGACGTGGACAAAACGCAGGGGCTGAGAGCCACGATATATGTAGACGATAATATTTGTACTTGAAGTCTTGATGCAAGATCCACTTCTCTGCATCCTCTTTCCTATTATTGATTGCCTTCATCCTCCTTCGGGTCTACCGAGAGCTCGACAGTTGTTGTCAAGATGTTTGGAATGGATATCACGCACGGTGTATCGAATGGCTTTCGAGCCCATTCAGGGGAACAACGAATAGTGTGAGGTCGAACAAGGGGCAGAGTTGCTGGCTGCGACCAGCTGAAGACGGCTTTTCTTCTGCTAGACCAAGCATTTGCCTTGTCGAAGAGCTTGTAGCCTCAAGTTGTAGGGATCGTCATGGACCTTGGAACACATCGAACATTTTTGACGTTCGGATCGATTTGGACTCGAAGCGATTGAATGAAGCTGTTTGCTTCATCTGCGAAACCTATAAGCTTTTTTACAGCGAGTATGGTGTCCACTGTGCACCAAATGTTGGCGTCTTCGCGAAAAGTTCTGGATCAAGCTGCTAACGGGATCTAGCAGATAGTACAGCGCGAGATCCGCGTCTTGACGCATGGCGGAGGCTCAAAGGGGTCGCGGGAATCTCGAAAGAAACGGTAAAGGGGTGCTTCTTTATCTCTAGGCTATTGCGATTTGCGAGTAACATGGTACTACTTCTCTTCCCTTGTCACGACTGACGAGATCTTGCCCAACTCGAAAGTTACTCCTTCCATCATGGCGTCCCTCTCTACAATCTCCAGAGCGTCAGCTGTACGAGTTGTGCTCGCAGTCGTCCTTGCATTCACCATCTTCCTCATCATTGCACAAAGGTCGACCATCCAATCCTATACCGAACGTCTACCTAAGATCGCCGCTCGACCTCGCCCGATACCCAACATAATCCATTACACACAGATCCAGAAAACGGAACAATCCGAGCTCCACTTCTCTTTCGAGGCATTCCTTTCCTTATACGCTGCGCTTCGAATCCTCAAGCCTGAGAAGATATACATACACACCAATTTCAATGAGAGCATGCTCGAAAGAGCTGCGCAAAACGGGTCAAAATGGACAAGGATGATGCTCACAACTTTTAAAGAAGTGACGGTCAACCAGGTCAAAGTGGCAGAGCAGGTCAATGGGATGAAGATCAACAATGTGGAGGCAAAATCAGACTTCGTCCGGTGGGAACAGACGTACGACAAGGGAGGCATCTACCTAGACTGGGACGTCCACACCCTCCGCGATGTCAAGATCCTGCGTGAGGCTGGATTTCAAAACGTCGTTGGGAGACAGCCGGACGGACCTGTCAACACCGGCTGCTTCATGTCGCAAAAGCGATCTGCCATGGCAGACGTCATGAGAAGGGAACAGTATATCGTCTTCGATAACAGCTGGGGAGCTCATTCCGTCGACCTTTTTAATCGCGTCGCCGAAAGGCTGGCAGGATCGCCGGGTGAAGTGTTGATCATGGAAGCACAAGCTTTCGCTCCGTATAATTGGCTAGCCAGCGATGCGGATGAACTCATGGGCCCGCATGATGAAGCACCCGTTCCTTCGTTCCCACAGGTCAACAGCGTCGCGCAGGACCCGTATGAGAGATGGAACAACCAGGCCAGGAGTAGAGACTGGGAGCATGATTTTAGCAATTCGTATTTCTTGCATGCGTTCAAATATAGGGGACACGAGATCAAAGGATACAAGGGCGTGACTGTGAAATACATTTTGGAGCGGACCTCCAATTTCGCGCTTGCTACTTGGAAGACTGTGCAGATGGGTATTGAGGAAGGCCTGTTCTCGCCGGATGATGATGAAGTTTGATGTTCAAAAGCCACATCATCTCGGACATGAGAGACAGCGAGACGTACGGATTTCGATCACATCTCGAAGATAAACGTGATTCTCGCCAATCGCATCATGAGCTCTGAAGTCTTTCAAACATCGTGATACCAATGTCGAACAAGAAACGAATGGGTTGAGTAAACGTGCTGGGTATTCATACTTCCAATTTAAGCAATCGCCTCGGGTTGCTACCGCGACACGCCCAGAAAGATCACCGTCGGCTAAGGTTTGACGGTCGAAACCATGGTCAGAGCGTGAGTCGATCAAGGAGAAGTTGTAACCGTAGGTGAGGCCGCCACATGCGTGGTCCACCGATGTAGATCTTCCAATAGTTCAGCCACAATCG